TTAACGAACTATTCCGTCTGAACAACATGCCTGCCTTCAATTTTCCGGAATCCACACTTCAGAAGACATCCTCAAGATCCTTTTCCCCAAAAACCTGAACTTTACTGCACCTACAGACCTGTTTTCTGCCCAAGCAACTGCTCCTGTAACTTCTATAACCACTTCCACCGCTGACAACGTTGATCAAGTTTTCCTCAACCACCGCCTCCCACCTTCCCCGCCTGCTGTTACACAACCATTACACCTCACAGCTGCTCCCGTCGAACCTCAGTCACCTGCTACCACCATTGTAGATTTCCCAGTGAATCCACTCCAGAAAAGGGGAAGTTAACGACGACTCCAGTAAACCCTCATGGGAAAACCTTACCTTTTACACTTCTCCTTCAAATACTGACACCAGACCTGTACTGAACTCTACAAAAGCCTCGGTGCTGGAACAGTCAAGTATGCATTTGGGAAACACCGCTTCACTTCACACTCACCCAAGTTCTTGAGTTCATCAAGCCTCTACGTTTTTACCTTCAGTAACAAGGCTAAATTATACCACCTATCTAGAAGCAGCTTCAAAAGTTTGAAAATGGGCTCCATTGCTAACCTGCCCCCTCAGTTACTCCTAAACTCCCTTTTGTGTTCTACCCTCTGATGTGACCTAGCCTCCTGGGCCCGCTACTCAAGATTCAAGATTTCAACTACCACAAGTTCAATGCAACAGTCCCTGCTATTAGTGTTCTCAAGTCTGCCCCACGATCGCCTTAGCTGCTGGGTTAAGCCCTGGCTCTATTTCTCTTACTAAGAACACTCCTCTCCAGAGCTATTCTTCATCTGTCCCGTCTTCCCCGCTCATCCCATTGGGATCTTACCTAAACTTGTTTGCTTTGCTTTTTTGCTCTGTATGTTAGAAGTGATCAAGGTCCCAGGACCGAAACGTTTTCTAATAAATATGTTATAGTGTTTGCTTACGTGTCTTTCTAAACCAACTTTTCGGTATTTTTTTACCAAGGTTTTTTACCAGATCTGTTTGTTGAGTTTTAGACACTTATGCAGCATATGGGGAAACTTTATTCAGGAAACGTTTCGCCACACAGTGGCTTCATCAGTCCAATACAAAGAGGAAGGCGTAAAGGGGAGGAGGAGAATGAGGTAATCAGTCCCTCCTGGAGTTGATGTGTTCAGTCCATCAATCTTGTAGAATGTACAGCATAGGGCCGTAGACGTGGCTTATATACTGTAGTGAGGTGAGGTGAAGCAGGCGGAGGCGGGGTCATAGTGGTACCATCCACTAGTCGAAGTAGGTCTTCGTCCAAAGGTTGAACAAGTGTTGAAGAATTCTTTGTAACAAGATCCCATGATGCTGCAGTGTCTGACAGTTGTGATGAATGGTTTGAAAAACCGACAAGTTGAAGATTGAGACACTTATGCAGCATAGGGATTTTTTATTCAGGAAACGTTTCGCCACACAGTGGCTTCATCAGTCCAATACAAAGAGGAAGGCGTAAGGAGAGGAGGAGAATGAGGCAATCAGTCCCTAAACCTGGGTAATCAGTCCCTCAACTTGTCGGTTTTTCAAACCATTCATCACAACTGTCAGACACTGCAGCATCATGGGATCTTTTTACAAAGAATTCTTCAACAAATTGTTTTAACCTTTGACCCAAGACCTACTTCGACTAGTGGATGGTACCACTATGACCCCGCCTCCGCCTGCTTCACCTCACCTCACTACAGTATATAAGCAACGTCTACGGCCCTATGCTGTACATTCTACAAGATTGATGGACTGAACACATCGACACCAGGCTGAGGGACTGATTACCTCATTCTCCTCCTCTCCTTACGCCTTCCTCTTTATATTGGACTGATGAAGCCACTGTGTGGCGAAACGTTTCCTGAATAAAGATTCCCATATGCTGCATAAGTGTCTCAATCTTCAACTTGTCGGTTTTTCAAACCATTCATCACAGATCTGTTTGTGACTTGATAAAGCCCACTGTGTGGGCGAAACGTTGTCAATAAAGGATCACATTATACTGCATATGTGTTCATATTTCCCTTGCGCTAAATACTGCTGCTCGTAGAAATAAGGATATAGTAAGCAATATATTTCATCAAATCGAGACAAATCACGAAATTTTCAGTTTTATTCTCTCACTATTGATGAATGGGGTGATGTGAGTGACACAACACAACTCGTAGTATTCATCCATGGCATCAACAATGAATTTAACGTCACACAAGAATTACCATCAATGTATAGCATACAGAGCACAGGAACCGGAGGAGACATCTTCGAAGAATTGCAAAAAACCTGCATTAGAATATAACCTGGAGTAGAATAAATTTCAATGTGTGATACTTGATGAAGGAAAGAACATGTCTAGAGTGAAGAAAGTTAATTAGGATGGACAAATCACAAAAGTTTGCGAGGATGATGGATTCTCAAAGCCCGTGTTTCTGCATTCAGCAAGCATTGTGCGGAAAATACATGGATACGTCTTGCGTTCTGAAGTCTGTTGTTTCAACAGTATATATCTGGCATAACCATCGCCAGTTTCGTGATTTTCTGAAATAAAATGGTTTTGAGTTGGTTGACTTGCCTTATTGGCTTAGTTATGGCAAGGTTATATCACGGTTCTCTCAGCTCAAAACGAAAATTGATTCATTTCTCACAGAGAAGAATCGATCCGGACCACTTTTATCAAACACTGACAGGCTTTGGAAATTGGCATTTTTGCAGACGTGACAAGCCATACGAATCAAGTGAATCTGAAGTTGAAAGGTGAGAAAAATTTCATTTGTGATCTATTCACTCATGTCAAGGCATTCAGGGCAAAACTGAAGCTGTTTGAAGAACAGGTGAAAGTTTCTGACTTGGTTATTTCCCATGTTGTGAAAAATGTCATGAAGAAAATAAAGCGGAATTTCCGTCTTCATTAGTAACATAAATCAGGAATGACTTGGAAAAACAATTTCAGGAAAGATTTTGTGATTTTGACGAAAAAACAGATGAAATAAAACTTTCTCAAAAAAACATTTGACTCCAGTGTTGAAACACTCCCATGTCAATTTCTAATGGAAATTATTAATCTCCAATCAGATGACATGATGGAAGAAAAGTATAAAGAAGGAAATCTGATCCAGGTTTATAAATCTTTACAGCCTGATATGCTCCCAGATTTGAAGCAATTTTCTTGTGGATCAGTATTAGTTTTTGGTACAATGAAGCATTGTGAACAATAATTTTTAAAAAAAATGAAGTATGTCAAGTCCAAATATCGCATAAATTTATCCGAAGAGCATTGGAAATTCACTTTAATAATTGGCTCTTCAAGCTTGAAGAACCTCACTTAGGGCAATATTTTGAAAAAAGAAAAAAAAAAAAAAAAGTTCCATAATTCCCATTAATCTTTTGCAAGTTAATCATGTGGCAGCTTTTATCTGCAGTTCAGTAATTAATTTTATTCTCAGAGCATTGGTTAATGTTTGACATTTTTTACTTTAACACCCCTCTGAAGGAGGGGTGTTAATGTTGCAGTTTAAAAACTGTAGTGTAAAGCACCCTTCTGGCAAGACAGTGATGGAGTGAATGATGGTGAAAGTTGTTCTTTTTCGGGCCACCCTGCCTTGGTGGGAATCAGCCAGTTGATAATAAAAAATAAATATAATTTCACAGTGTAAGCACGATATTGTGTCTTTGTAAGTGTAATATTTCTTTCTTTTTCAACCATATATCGCTGATTACAAAAATGATCCAGATAAAACTTATTCATTCATTTATGTTTATTTATAAAACTGTTTTTTTTCTCTGGCTCGCGAAAATATGAAAAATATACGACATGGCACTCGTAATGATAGTGTGGAGACTCCTGGTCTAGATGAAGATATGACGAGGCCTTGTGAATTACAAATTACTTGAATATCGTTAAGAATGGTACCCATCCTCTTACGCCCTGTTGTATCATATCATCAGCATAGCTAATAATTATATGTTTAGGTGAGGTAGGTAGCGCATTTAGTAAAGTATTATTCGGGATATTAAATAACACGGTGTTAAGAATTTCTCCCAGTGGTGCACATAACGAAATTTCTTTAGCAGTAAGAACACCGATAAATATGCTTATATTCTGCGTAATGAAGGAGAGCAGAAAATAATAAAAAAAAAAGAGTTTCAATGTGTTATTTATCTTTTCTTGGGCCTAGGTAAGGTCTAGAGTGCAGATTCTGATAATCATTCTCTGAACGAGGTGCGAGGTGATGCAGTTATCAAAACATCTCATTTTGTTTCATGATTTTAACAGTACTTCCTAACAACTCTTCCAGTTGATTATATATTGTCTTCAAGATATTTGATGCTTTTCCTAATCCATTTTATAAAACTCTTAACTTGGATATAGTAAGCAAACACTGATTGTGTTGTGAGTTAACTATCATACTGTCATTCTTAGCTAATGTCTCTAGACATTAGTTAAGTGGAATCAACTCAATCACTGTTAGAAAATGTGATATTATTAATTAATCCTCGGAAACCACAGCCATTCAGAGTTCTACGGTCATAAAATAAAACAATATGTGTTCCAAATGACAACATCTCTGCCCCTGCTTTTACTAGGAATAATTAACAACTTGTGTAAAAACAAACGATACCTCGGGCGAGGTTAGAACCTGCTATCATAGTCCTTAAACTCCAGACCGACGCGTTAGCCACTGGGACAGCTAGCCACAGTAAGATTCATCCAACTAGGTATATATATACACCATTTGTGGTCACAGTGGTGCCTATGCTAACCTTCCTATGGTGTATAAATATACCTAGTTGGATGAATCTTATTGTGGCTAGCTGACCCAGTGAATAACGCGTCGGTGTGGAGTTTTAAGACTATGATCGTGGGTTCTAACCCCGCCAGTGGTATGGATTGCTTGCAATCGTGGCATTACGATTTCGTGAGTCAAGTGTGTAAAGACCCACGAGTGCGACTATATACGACAAGTGGTTATAAACTCACCTGATGCGGGTGTGGCTAGAATGACCATGAGAGTCACAACCACGTCCAGCAAGCGTCCCACCTTCATGGACCGTTCTCTGTAGATGTGAGTACTCTTGGAGGAAATACGGCGTCCGTATGAATCTATGAAGCCAGCTGGCCTGTAATTGAGGCCTCCTATGGATGTTATGAAGCCAGGTGAGAAGGAAATTAGTTTGGGAGCTGCTGATGGAAGAGCAAATTGATGTGAGGCGGTATTATCAGCTGACAGATAGTTAAAATTGCACGCTTCGGAAGACGAGCCTCTGACAAGTTCACTGCGCCGGGAATTGATGTCAAATTGTTGTACGTAGACACACACGGGATATGACAGCCGGAAAATCTTAACGATAGTTGATGATTCGAGGATTTTACTAAATTTATGTTACGTGACATAGCCCAGATTATATTTAAGTGAGATACTCGAGCTTTCTTATGGCAGGCATAACAAGCAATTGCGTAAGGGAACTTGTATGATTGTATTTAGCTGATTATAGGTGGCTGAGAGCGCTTTACCGGGCTGTGCTCTACGCAGCTGATGTTACAGCCACAGTGCTTCCGTCCAGGCTCCTGTAACTTGTGTTATCCTTTACGTTACTTCTCGTAACAATTAGTATAATTATATCACCTAAGTTGAAATCATACATTATCAATTTGCCTTTAGATTTCCTTTTCGTGAGGCACATTCTGACTTAATGTTCCCAATTTCCAGATTCTTTACTCAACTTTCACCATTTCATAAAGCATTGGCTATTTTATTGTATCAAAAGGTTCGTCCATGTATTTAGTTACTTCACTTTCTTATGAAAATTAATGGAACAATTAGTAAACACATTTCCATTAATATATTACTAACGTGGAGGTCAAAGAGTTGCTAGGCTGACACAGGTCTGAGAGAGGACGAAAATTTTAGCCATAATTTCGTGGCTGACCGTGTCAGGCTAGAAAGTATATAAAAATTGAGAATTTTACTTACAAACGAATCGCTCTGACCTATATACATTTCACATTTCAATGTGCAACTTTTGTTGTTGATATAGTTTTTGTCGTTTGTGTTGTTATTGCTGGTGTTGATGTTGTTGTAATTCCGGCGCCTGCACTTGATCCTCGTCCCTGCAATTAGAAAAAAAAGTGAGTTGCCAAACAGTAATATTAGATAAGAAAAAAGGCACAATACCGTGGCTGGAACGATACACAAATAACCCGCACATACAAGAGAGGAGCTTACGACGACGTTTCGGTCAGATTTGGACCATTTACAAGGTGACTTTGTAAATGGTCCAAGTCAGACCGAAATGTCGTCGTAAACTCCTCTCTTCTATGTGCGGGTAATTTGTGTATAATACTACATATATTTCGGTCGTTGTGCGATCCGGAAAAGGTATCCCAGTATAGCATAACCCCAGACCCCTCTGCTTCAATGAATGCGAAAAAAATAGTGCAGAATGTGGCACAACTTCTAAATGCAAGTGCTCGTGTTGAAAATCTGAAAACAATCGTATTTGGAATGTATAGATAAGTGACTTTTATAACCAGACCTGCTATAACAGTTTGAACAGAGGAAGTACAGTACCTGCGCTCGGGAGGAGAGTGTGTGGTGTGGTTGGAACATCAACAGAACTGTGATGTCAGCGGGCTTTTTGGGAAAGTATTGATTAAATAATTGACAACGAAAGTGTTTCCTGTGTTAGGCTACCGTTCATCGGTGGGTGAAAGCTCTTGTATTATTTGTGTATGCACACTCATACACACACACACACACACACACACACACACACACACACACACACACACACACACACACACACACACACACACACACACACACACACACACACACAGAGCTAAGGGGAATGTCCTATAAAGAAAGATTAAGGGAAATCGGCCTGACGATACTGGAGAACAGGAGGGTCAGGGGACACGTGATAACGACATATAAAATACTGCGTGGAATAGACAAGGTGGACAAAGACAGGATGTTCCAGGGAGGGGACACAGAAACAAGAGGCCATAATTGGAAGTTGAAGACACAAATGCGTTAGAGAGATAATAGGAAGTATTTCTTCAGTCAGAGATGTCAGGCAGTGGAATAGCCTAGAAAATGACGTAGTGGAGGCAGGAACCATACATAGTTTTAAGACGAAGTTTGATAAAGCTCATGGAGAGGGGAGAGAGAGGGCCCAGTAGCAATCGATGAAGAGGCGGGGCCAGGAGCTAAGACTCGACCCATGCAACCACAAAGAGGCGAGTACACACACACACACATACATACATACATACACACACATATATAGACTGGTCCTAGTATTCATACCTTGAGTAGTGCAGATAAAGAGGACATCACATATGAAAGGCCCCTACGAGCTAGTGATCAAGTGGTTCTAAAAGTCAGGAAGGGCAGGAAGAATGAAGCCAAACTACACGAGAGGGACTAAACAGGCATGAGGAATTTCCTGCACGAGGTTCGGTGAGACAGAGAAGTGGAAAGGAAATCAGTAATGAGATGAGAGGAGGAAAGGTTCGTACCCAAGGGCAACAGTCATAATGAAAAGGCCAGAATGAGCCTTTGGTTCACCCAAAGGTGTAGAGAGGCTAAAACCATGTGCGCTAGAGAATGGAAGAAGTATAGAAGGTAAAGGACCCAAGGGAATAAGGAGAGTAGTCGAAGAACAAGAAATGAATGTGCGCAGGTAAGGAGGGAGGCCCAACGACAATACGAAAATGACATAGCAACGAAATCTAAGTCTCACCCGAAGATGCTGTACAGTCACATCAGGAAGAAAACACCAAAGACCAGGTAATCAGGCTGAGAAAGGAAGGAGGGGAGTTTACAAAAAACGACCTTGAAGTATGTGAGGAGCTCAGCATGGAATTCAAATGGATATTCACAGTGAAGACAGAAAGGACTCGAAAAAGACGGAGTGGTGGGATACACCAACAAGTGCTGGACACGATACTTACAACCGAGGAGGAGATGAAGAGGCTGCTAAGCGAACTAGATATCTCAAAGTCGATGAGGCTGGATAACATCTCTCCGTAGGTCTTGAGAGAGGGAGCAAGGCCCTGTGTGTTCCACACACCACCTGACTCACAATGACTCCTAGCTCACTGCTCACACCACCTGACTCACTATGACATATCTATCGAAAAAGGGCGGCTAACTGTGGTATGGAAGACAGCAAATGTAGTCCCAATTTAAGAAAAAAAGGAGACAAACACGCACTATTAAACTACAGACCAGTGTTACTGATATGTATTGTATGCAAGGTCACTGAGAAGATTACCAGAAGAGTGAAGGACCAGCTAGAAAAGAATGTGTTTGTAAACGACTACCAGCACTGATTCCGAGACTGGAAATCCTGTGTCAAAAGCCCACTAGAGAGAGTGAGAGAGAGAGAGAGAGAGAGAGAGAGAGAGAGAGAGAGAGAGAGAGAGAGAGAGAGAGAGAGAGAGAGAGAGAGAGAGGAGAGAGAGAGAGATGAGAGAGAGAGAGAGAGAGAGAGAGAGAAAGAGAGAGAGAGAGAGAGAAGAGAAGGAGAGAGAGAGAGAAGAGAGAGAGAGAGAGAGAGAGAGAAGAGAGAGAGAGAGAAAGAGAGAGAGAGAAGCGAGAGAGAGAGAAAGCGAGAGAGAGAGAAAGCGAGAGAGAGAGAAAGCGAGAGAGAGAGAAAGCGAGAGAGAGAGAGAGAGAGAGAGAGAGAGAGAGAGAGAGAGAGAGAGAGAGGGGTGGGTAGATTGCGTTTTCTTGGGCCGTAAGAAGGCTTTTGATACATTTCCACACATGAGATTAGTGCAAAAGATGGAGGACCAGGCGGCATAACAGACAAGGCACTGCAATGGATCAGAGAATACCTGACAGGTAGGCGTCAGCGAGTTACGGTACGTGATGTGGTGTCACAGTGGGCGCCTTTGACGAGCGGGGTTCCACAGGGGTCAGTTCTAGGACCGGTGATCTTTCTGGTATTTGTGGATGATGAAAGGAATAGACTCAGAAGTGACCCTGTTTGCAGATGATGCAAAGTTAATGAGGAGGAGAAGGGCCAGGCAGGACTACAGAGGGATCTGGATAGGCTGCAGGCCTGGTCCATCAACCTCGTTCCTGGAGATGAACCCCACCAAGTGGAAAGTCATGAAGATCGGGGAAGGGTAAAGAAGACCACAGACAGAGTACAGTCTAGGGGGGACAAGGGCTAAAAACCTCACCCAAGGAAAAGAATCTCGGAGTGTGTAAAATACCGAGCACATCTTCTGAGGCGCACATCAACCAAATAACAGCTGCAGCATATGGGCGACTAGCGAACCTAAGAACAGCATTCCGACATCTCAGTAAGGAATCGTTCAGGACCCTGTACACTGTTATTATGCAGTGTGCTACAGAAAAATATATTATAAAATAATGCTCCATAGTACCGGGACTGAACTGAAAGCGGAGGTGCATTCCCTGAAAGAGGATGCGTTTTATTCCTGTCACAATCAGAGTGGCCAGGACAGGAGCAGATGAGGTGTGTTTAGGCAGTAGGTTACACACAGCAGAGGAAGTAAGATGTAGCAGTGCGAGTATGTGGTGTTGGGTAGGTTTTTGTAGTGTATACTATTTCATTTGTTTCGGTGCTCTCATTTATTTGTAAAGCCCTAGTGTGTGTGCGAGGGCCTGTGTTTTGGAGAGTATTTAATATATTAACTGTAGGCTAAGTAGCCGGCAGGAAGAAAGGAAGGGGGTGTCTTGAAACCTCGCTGCTTATATATACTGTATCTTGTTTAACTCACTAGTATCAGTGTGCTAGTGAGCTAATGTGATTTGGAGTGTGGTGCATTTTTGGCGCAGATTTTAAGTTGTATATAAGTTACTTATTATTATATATATTTTTGTATAGGTGAGTTTTTGTGTCCTTCCTTATACAACATTAATTATTTGCACTCATGCTTCTTAATTTGTAGGAGTGTATGTTGGCCCTAGAGTTGCTGTGTTTTTAGTGTAATTTAAATAATAATAATAATAATAATAATAATAATAATATCTTTATTTACTACAAGTACATGTACAAGGTATACAGTCCTAGCTGACAACAATGACATACTACTATATAGAAACTCTCTTGTTATGCTCTGCATTTCGGGCAAATTAGGTCAGTGTCCCAGGATGCGACCCACACCAGTCGACTAACACCCAGGTACCCATTTTACTGATGGGGAACATAGACAACAGGTGGATAGAAACACGTCCAATGTTTCTACTCTGGCTGGGAATCGAACCCAGTCCCTCGCCCCTGGACAGCAGACTGAGCAGCCATTTAGGAGCCAGGATCATTTTATTTAAGTTGCTACATAAACAATTGTGTACGTCAAGCCCATATTGGAGTATACAGCGTGAGTGTGGAACCCACAC